CTAAATTTCAGTTTGTTTCTGTGACGAATATTGTACGTGTAAAAATTTTACACGTAGAGTTTTTGTCATTTTTTCCCTGTTATACTTTATCGATGTGTTTTATAGAAAATAAAAATTAAAAGTATGTATCTCTGTTAAAATGTTACGTAGTACTAAAACGAAATGAATGATTTTACACGTAGTCGTTATGATATTTTTATAATTTCAAATATAAATTCTTTCTAAAATGAAGTCAAAGTGAATTGAAGAGAGTTTTGAGATTATTTTGTAAATAATAATTCATTTCGTTTTATTATTACAACAATGCTTCGATGCAATGATATTTGTATAACATTCGTTTTCAATTTTGGATTATAGAATTTTATATCGAAGTTTTCTCGAAAAGAACTGGGACATCCTGTGAATATTTAATACATTCTATTTCTATTCTTGATAATTTAAAAGTCTTCTAGTCACAAATTGAACAAACATATCTACTATCAATTATTTAAATATGAAAAATTTATATTGCTGCCATAACAATTATTATTATTAACCTATTAACCTATTTTATTATAATATAACATTATTAAAAAAATTCTAAAAAAATCTCAAACATCCAATCCGTGAATTAAATCATATATCTAATATCATTTTAATATTCTTTCAGATTCAACACACGATCGAAGCTTCCATCAATCCTCAACAAGACATATACACATCATATATTAAACTTTACCTGTATCCTCTTCATAAACATTCACGACGACCAATACCAAAACGATCAAAAACATTAATAGTCAGACACTCCTTCGATTCGAGTGGCGGTAAAGTTTCCTTAATTAACGGAACCGCGTATTTAATATCAGTCTGGAGAAGAGGGGGTGGCCAAATTTCCCGCGAAATCGTCATTTATCCGTTGGACCGAGCGTTATGCAAATCGTACGACTCGCATAACTCAGCGGCGGCTCGCGGATTAAAGCCTGGGCGTTTCCATGCAAATGTCGAGGGGATAGACGACCGGGCCAAGGAAACTGCTCCGCTTCATCGTATCATCGATACAGACGCATCGACACGCGGGACACGACGCAAATTCGTGGACGGACAACGGTATCCTTCGTGTTGGGTGGATAAATACGAGCGTGTAACAGCTCGAGACGAGCGCGCGCTATTTACGTTCGTCCGACTCGACTGTTTGGTTCACGGTGACTTGCAACCGACTTGCATCGCCAATTTGTAAAGTCACAGGCGGGGACGTGATGGAGAATTGCTTTACGATCTTACCTCACGTGGCAACGCGTTGTAAGAAAATGTATGCAGATTGGGGCTGTGTTTAGATTCTGACGAGCGCAACCGAGTCGAGATCGAGACTCGAGGGGGAGGAAGGGTTGGATTATGTGCGTGGAGAGGATTGAAGAGGGCTTTCGGGATCTTGGTGATATTGGATGGTTTTGGGTATGGCTGCTGGAGTGGCGAATGTATTCGGTGGAATTTTAGAATATTGGGAAGAAAGTTTCGATATCTTCAAGTTTGTGCAAGTAACTTTTGAGTGAATTTTTTTTATTATTGGTATTTTTAAATTATGTCTTTCTATCGTTATAAAAAAATTTTATAAGCTAGGAAGAGTTCTTGTGATTGATTGATAATATAAATATCTATTTCTTTATTTTAAATTTATCCTTTCATTTTTTTTTAGATTCATAAGAAATTCATATAAAAATATTATTAAGTTATATGAAATTCAATAAATTTTGGTTAAAATTTTAGTATGAAACTATCAATAGTATATTTATTTCATTTTAATTATAGTGATAGGTATTTTTCTCAAATTTGAAATGTATCTTTAAATATTATGCACAAAATACAAAAACTTCTACTAGGGTAAAATCTTTTTATCTTTGAACAGACGATTATTTCTTTATTAAATTAATTCGTCGATCGTATCTTCGCAATTTTTACGAGGATTATATAAACGTGTGTAACATAACGTGCAAATACACGGCAAATTTATTGCCCTTTAGCCGCGGATGTCGTGAAATTCCACGACGAAATTGTTTCGAAACTATGCGGTCACGATTTTTGTTTCCGCATCGCAAAAAACCGGACGACAGCGAAAAAATGTTCCTTCCGACTTTTAGAAATGCTTTCGTATCTTTTTTTTTTTTTATTTTCATTTGTTGTGTTTCCTCGCAAATACTCGTTTACGCGTTTCAATCGTATATTTCTTTTTTCTTCCTCTATGATATTTTAACTTTTAAATTTTTAAATTTTTAATTTTTAATTTCAGCTCCAAAATATGGAATTAGTATTTTACATTACATAATTTTTCAATGTTTCTTAATTTTTTAGAAATTAAATAATTGGCTAACAAGTTGATCAGTTTGATTTTTATTTACGTGATTCATTTGAAATATAAATTTTTACTTAAAGTAACTTGTAACAAAAAATCTACGTCTTTTCATCTGATGTATTTTTATGCATTTTATTCAAAAATATAATTTGATATTTTTCATCTCGAATACGAATTCGAAGAATTCGTTTCAAAATACTATCTATACTCGTTAAGAAAATAATTTTCAATAAAGGAATGATCCTCGATACGATTTCAACCTCGTTTTCCCGCAATATTCTTTTCATCAGGATTTTTCCCTCTCGAAAGGATTCCTTCTTATATAACGAATTTTCTTTTATATCCTTTCTATTAGGTGTAATTATCCGGAAGACCCCTGGTCTCCAATATCACACACACACACACGTCATATACACATAATATCATACACATAATAAAATACTGATTACATTTATTTCAATACACATACATTCCCCTTTCATACAACTCGTTAATTCTCATTCAAATCAAGAATATATAAAAAATAATCATTCGACGAATACATCCGTATATACACGCGTATTCACGATTCAAGTAAATCAAACTCATCGACCCGAATTTCCCTTAACAAGACCGACCCCTCGGCCCATCCTCAATCCAAACAGCACGCAAATCCAAAACTCAATCCCGTCTAAATTATCCTGCGAGCGAAACCCCAACAACCACAAGAGACAACCAAAGTATCTCAAAACTCGATGTACACTCCTCTTATCTAATCAACCAATTACCACCCCATTTCCTATAATCCTATCTGTACACAATCTGTATCGTCAAATATATCAGCCAAAGTCATGCAACGTTTACACATTAATCATACACAATCGAACAATAATCGCCCTCCCCTTCCTCCTTCCACTCCCCTCCCCTCTTCCCCGCGGTCACGGCAATTAGTTGCATAATTTATTCGCGTGGAATCCTCGATTTCCCAGACGGAATAGGGGATAGAGGAGGGGAGGGGTGAGATCGATTTCCAGATTCGGTTCGATCGCGATATCTCTTCGGACAATTCATAAAGGCAGGCACCGGTGGCCACCCTTCGTCGGTGTTGGCATTGGTTTTGCGCGCGTCGTACGATGGCCCTCGAGGGTGTGGAACGCGGAGAGGGAGGAGGAGGGTGGTTGAACATCGGGGGCCGCGTGTGCGTGACCGGACCTTCCGCGTTAACGGAAGCGGCCCGCCAATCTGATTGGCCTATCCTTCTCGTAATTGCCTGTAGATCCCAATCGCGATTAGTCGGGGAAATTAATACGGTTCTGGATGCGGAATTTATGCGACTCTGACGTGGATTATGCATATACGATGGCCGAGCCGGGGCGCTGCAATAACCGCGTCGTTACGACGACGTTATCGCGGCGATGTGGTCGCGCGGAAATCTCTGCCTTCTCGATTTTAATCGGGATGGGATAGGTTAATATGGGGCGGGATTGATGGGATCTCTGCACATGGGGATCGCGGCTTTCGAATTAGATATTATGAATTTCTACAATACTATATTCCTTGGGGGAAACGTGTCCGAAGTTGGTCTTTAGTTTGTGGGATTTTGGAGGGATTTTGGGGGATACTGTAGAGAGGATATTTTCGAATAGTAATTGGTTACGATATTATCTAGATATATATGCAGAATCATTTTATCAAAAATTTTAAGGAGGAATTAAAGACTCTTCTAGGATAGTTAAAAATTTTTGATAGAATTTGGATAATTGACAGCTTAAATATTATTTTCATTTTAAGAATAAAATTCACCTGATGGATTTCCATCATGCCGCAGTTGACAATCAATAATCGAGGCGTGACATCGTTCAGCTTTCACAATCGATCATCTTTCCTCCATATTTCAATAGTTTTCGAAGCGAAAAAGACAGTTATCGAATCCGTATTTGCGAAATTAACTCGAAACGGTGTATCCGGTATCTTGAACGACGTATAGCCATTGTCTGATGGAATTACCACCAGCATCCTCCGTGATTAAACGTCCACCACCATGATTCCATGGTTCTTGGAAGAGGGTTGCAACGAAGGGAGAACTTAAGGGGAGAGGAATAGGAGAAGGCAAAGGGATGCGTGCATACCTATATATGAGGGTTGCGCATACCTATATACCCTTCTCGAAACCTGCCAGAATCCCAGGACCCTCACTTCCATTTAACCGGATAATGTCCATTGTTCCGAGCATCCCACGCATCCTTGGACGCAATAGTAGAAGCACGGGCTGAAATGCTCGCGATACTACGACGAATGGCAGCCAAATGGCCGGCTAAATGTACTCGCACACTGCATTCTGCTGGCACCGGGTTCACGATCGTTTTAGAGGAACACCAATCCTTGGTATTCAGGTGTAAATTGGTCTTGAGCGCCTACTTTCGCTCTACCATTGTTGCGAAACTGGAGATATTGAGAACTTTCGATGGACAAGAATAGGAAACGAATTGGAATTGGATTGTTCGTTTTAGTGGCTGATCTGGGATTTTGGAAGAGTTTATTGAATCTAAATCGAAGGAAATAGGAAATATGAGAATGAAAAATATTTGTTCACAGGTTGTTGGAAAACGAGACGGTATTTGCTATAAACGAGCTTTATGTACAAACACGATCGTTGCACCTATACAACGTGATTCTATATCGATTCCTCTTATTCGTAATATAGACGATTCTTTTATATGTACAAAACATTGTAAAATCTTGAACGATGGGTGTCTCATTGGGCAGTGATGATTCGTAACTCAAATCCATGGACCGAGACGACTTTCGAGAACATTAGCGGCGTCCACGCGTCCCATCAGTCTTAAATGGTTCAATAGGTCTGCTAGAGCTGTGGCCTCTTGATGTTTCGCTTCCCATAAATCCAAGATGTGCTCCGTTGGACTGGCTTTCGTCGCGAAATAATCGACGTATCTGAATAAAATCAGCAGTTACTTCAATCTTTCAGTGTCTTTTAACTCGATGAAGAAAAAAAGAATTGATAAACTCTCACCGATCTACTTGAAGTCTTTGCGCTAACATTCTCCAATCATTTCCTCGCGCGCTTGGCGGATCAAGACACTGACATAACTGTTTTCTAAGCGTTTTAGAAAATCTTCAAGGAGAAGAAAAATCAATTAATGATCTATATGATCTATCAAGAAAAGGGGATAAAAGAAAGAAGATACCTAAACGGTCTGGGAACGACGGATTCGGTCGACCTGTTCGAATTCTTCCCACGAAGAACGATGGATGACTCAGACTTCGTGGTCCTCTTCCCACTGGATCCGTTCCTCTTCATCAGATCTAGGTCAATTCTCAGGAACAATGTGTGCTCTTCGAAACCGCATTGGCAGACGCGTAGCTCGAAACTGAGCCTCAGATCGCCCACTGTTTTCTCGATCCTGAATGATCTTCTCACGCTGGTCCTCGTAGAAGACCAGATACGACGATGCGGTATCTCTTGCCGTTCCACGAATCCGCTTTCTCTGTCCTCCAAATCGATTCGAAGCGGTGAATTCCCGGCTCTGAAACCTAAGGCTCCGTGGTCGATACGAGTGCCACCTAGCCGACGTTCCTGTACCAATGGATGACTAGTCTCAGGCAATATTTAAGGATTAAAAACAATCCGAAAAGTAGAATGATATTTGAGATTTGATCTGAAAATTGAAAATAAATATTAATATTGACCTGTTCTGTTACAAGCTTGAAAGCAGCTTTCGTGTCCTCCATCAGATGGCACCTGATGTGATCTCTTTCACGCGAGAGGAACACAACCACGCAAATTCTCTTCACCGCGAGTCCTGGCGCCACCACAGAATTCTCCCCAGCCACTGCGTATACACTAGGAGTCTCAGTGACCAAGAAAACTCCGGAATGATCTAGTTGCGCGAACGGTTGACCGGGAAGATTTATAGGTTCACCTCCCAGAGTCAAAATCTTTCTCCACATCGAGCTCGAAGTGAGATTAGAACTGGTAGAGGAGTTGCTCGAGTTGTTGGATCGAGTCTCGAGATCAAGGTCGGTCGACCAGAGGCTCAGTTCCCAGTTACCAGTCCTGAGTTCAGCACAATGCTCGAATTGCAAGATCACTGGCTTCACCAGATCTATTCCACTCGGGCCACAAGCCACTACGGCTGACAGCAGAGTCAGACTGGGCGGCAAACTAGGTCTTAGAGAGTCGTCCCCAAGGACGGCCAAATGTAAACCGTGTCTTCTTCCACGGGAGATAGCTCCTTCGGGTATAGACATCGAGACTCCAACTTCTGGAACCACCAAAAGCGCACCTTGCTCGTCCACCATCGCTCTTACAATGAAGCCACTAGAATCCTCGTGATTCCTGTCGTCCTCTCCATTTCTATCTTCGTCATCGTGCTCGTCGTCGTCCTCGTTGGTGCTTTCCTGATTCGCCTGGCAGGTAGAACCTAAGGACCAGATGTTACCAAGGCTGGTCACTATACCCGTTGTCTGATCGCCGTGTTCGAGTTGATGGTACTTGTTTCTTACGAGATGATCGGCCCTCCTCGTTATCCGATAAGCCTCTACCACGCTGCGAGTTCTTGCAGGAAGATCTGGTCACGGAGGAGCTGGGCGATGGCCTGGTGGTCGAGGGCAGCGAGAGCTGTGGCACATCGTAGTGATGCTCCGAGCAAGATCTGCGTATCGTCAGAGAGACTTTCAACGGGGGGG